TGGATCCAGTCATGGGAACCCAGCAGAGAGGTTTCCCCGTCCTCTGTATTCCCGGGATTCCACACAGGAAGGTCACACCATCCCTCACCATCATCAGGTAGATGGATCCAGTCATGGGAACCCACCAGAGAGATGTCCCCGTCCTCTGTATTCCCGGGATTCCACACAGGAAGGTCACACCATCCCTCACTATTACAAGGTTGGTGGGACGGAGAATCTAGAACATGGACTCATGGAGACGATGTGCGGATTCTCTATGTGATGTCACAATAATAAATCTTCTATCTTACAGATGATATTTTCTCTCCTTCTCTTGGTTTAGGGTGAAGATCTGATAGATATAAAAGTTGAGGTGAAATCAGAAGAAGAAGAGGCGTATGTGAGGGATGATCAGCAGTCTATGGAGGAGGATGGAATAACGGGGACATTTATAGAGGAGGACACTCCTACAGAGACCAGCACAGGTGGGTCATTATTATTATTATACAGTATTTATAAAGCGCCAATAGTTCGCTCCGCGCTGTACATTACAAAAGGGGACAGAACATGTGACAGAATAATACCAATACACAATGCAAAACATGAGGGGATTGAGGGCCCTGCTCTTTCGAGTTTACAATCTAGGAGGGAGGGGATAGTGGTACAGGAGGAGATAGCTGTGGGGGATGGAGTGGTAGGAAGAGTGGAGGAGGTCGGCAGGTTAGCAGGGGGTGGGGTAGGCTTCCCTGAAGAGATGGGTTTTCAGGGTGCGCCTAAAGGAGAGGAGAGTAGGTGATAATCTGATGGGTTGGGGCAGGGAGTTCCAGAGGATGGGTGACACCCTGGAGAAGTCCTGAAGGCGGGCATGAGAGGAGGAGACCAGGGAACTAGAGAGAAGGAGGTCTTGTGAGGAGCGGAGTGTGCGTGCTGGGTGGTACTTGGATATTAGGTCAGTGATGTAGTTCGGGGCAGTATGGTGGACAGCTTTCTATGTCAGTGTTAGGATTTTGAATTTGATCCGTTGCGCAATCGGAAGCCAGTGGAGGGATTGGCAGAGGGGAGTGGCGGAGATGGAGCGGTTGGAAAGGTGAATGAGTCTGGCAGCCGTATTCAGGATCGACTGAAGCGGGGATAGCCAGCGGCGAGGCAGGCCAGTGAGGAGGGAGTTGCAGTAGTCTAGTCGTGATATGATGAGGGAGTGGATGAGCTGTTTAGTGGTTTCTGGGGTTAGGAACGTGCGGATTTTGGTGATGTTGCGGAGGTGGAGTCTGCACGAGTTTGTTAAAGATTGGACTTGGGGCTGGAAGGATAGGTTGGAGTCCAGAATGACACCAAGTACTCTGGCCTGCGGGCCGGTTTGATGGTGGCGTTGTTGGATGTGATGGAGAAGTCAATGGGGGGGGGTGGTGTCCGGGCTGGGGGGAAGACAAGAAACTCGGTTTTGGAGAGGTTCAGTTTAAGGAAGTGGAGCGACATCCAGTCTGATATGTCGCTCAGTAGGTGTGTGATTCGGGCAGAGACCGAGGGGGTGAGGTGGGGGGTTGAGAGATAGATTTGTGTGTCGTCAGCATAGAGGTGGTAGTTGAAGCCGGAGAGTGTATGAGTTGGCCAAGGGAGGAGGTGTAGATGGAGAAGAGAAGGGGCCCGAGGACAGAGCCTTGAGGGACCCCAACAGAGAGGGGGAGTGAGGGGGGGGAGGTGGTAGCATTATAGGTAACGCTGAAAGAGCGTTGTGACAGGAAGGATTAGAGCCAGGAGAGAGCAGAATCACTGAGGCCGAGGGAGTGTAGTTTTTTGAGGAGGAGGGGGGTGGTCGACTGTGTCGAAGGCCACAGAGAGGTCAAGGAGTAGGAGCACTAAATAGTGGCCATTAGCTTTGGCGGTTAACAGGTCGTTGGAGAGTTTGAGTAAGGCAGTTTCGGTGGAGTGTAGGGGACAGAAGCTGGACTGTAGGGGGTCGAGGAGGTTGTTGTTGTTGAGGTGAGAGCATAGGCGGGTGTAGACTAGGCGCTCGAGGAGTTTGGATGTAAATGGGAGCAGGGAGATGGGTCTGAGGTTGTTCGGGTCATTGGGGTCCAGGGAGGGCTTTTTAAGTATGGGGGTGATGTGTGCATGTTTCAGAGGGGAGGGGAAAGTGCCGGAGGAGAGGGAGAAATTAAAGATGTGGGTGATGGAGCGTAGGATGGAGGGGGAGGGAGGTCGTAGGAGTTGTGAGGGGATAGGGTCGAGGGGGCAGGTGGTGAGGCGGGCATCAGAGAGGATCTTGGAGACTTCCTCGATGGTAGTAAGGTCAAAGGTGTGAAGTGGTGGGGGGGCTTCAGTATGAGGAATGAAGGGTGGGGTGGAAGTGGAGGTCAGAGCAGTGGTGGGGCCATGGGAGAGGGGTGATGAGGGGGTAGCTGAGTGAGGGGGAACAGGGTTGGAGGGAGTTTGAGCAGCGACGAAGTCCCTGCGGGTTATGTCGAGGGGGAGGGGGGATGAGGGTGTAGCTGTGTGAGAGGGGACGGGTTGAGAGGGCGTGTGAGTTGCAACGATGTCCTTGCGAATTGTGTCAATCTTGTTTTTTGAAGTGATTGACAATCTCAAGGGCAGTGAGTGAGGTGCTGGGTGGAGGTGGGGGTGGTGAGAGTTGAGAGTTGAAGGTGGAGAAGAGTCGGCGAGGATTGGAGGAGAGGGCCTTGATGAGGGTCAGGAAGTAGGCATGTTTGGCTGCGTGGAGGGAGCAGGTGTAGGTGTGGAAGGCAGATTTGTAGCGGGTGAAGGCTTGTTGGGATTTGTTTTTACGCCATAGTCGCTCCAGGGCACGACTGTGTCATTTGAGGGTTTTGGTGTGATCAGTCTGCCAGGGCTGGAGCAGGGGGGTCTGATGTTGCGTGTGGTTAAAGGCGCTAGTGAGTCAAGGGCTGTTGACAGCGCGTTGTTGTAGGCAGTCATAGCCAAGTCGGGGCAGGACAGGGGGAGGATGCTGTCGTGGAGTTGATCAGCTGCAGTGTGGAGGGGGGCAGGGTTAAGGTTGCGGAGGTTACGGCTGGTAGTAGTGTGACATTTGGAGGGGTAGGCGTTGGAGGACAAGGAGATAGAGAAGGTAATCAGGTTGTGGTCAGAGAGAGGGAAGGGGGTGTTAGTGAGGTTGTGGGGAGCGCAGCGGTTGGAGAAGACGAGATCAAGGATATTACCGTTGGAGTGGGTGGTGGATTGTATGCACTGTGCAAGTGCAAAGGAGGAGGTTAAGTGGAGGAGATGGGATGTGTCTGGGTTGTCGAGGTTGACTGGGATGTTGAAATCCCCAAGGATGATGGGTCATGAACACTAAATCCATTCCTCCACCCATACTGCTCACTGATTGGTCCAGAGTAGGGCGGGGGCGGGGTGATATCAGCCTGTAATACCTTGGTCACTTTCCTGAGCTGTACATTACATACTCCTGACCCCTGCACTATATACTCCATGTTGTACATTACATACTCCTGACCCCTGCACTATATACTCCATGTTGTACATTCCATACTCCTGACCCCTGCACTATATACTCCATGTTGCACATTCCATACTCCTGACCCCTGCACTATATACTGCAGTATGTACATTCCATACTCTGACCCCTGCACTATGTACTGTGTTGTACATTACATACTCTTGACCCCTGCATTATATACTCTATGTTGCACCTTACATACTCCTGACCCCCGCACTATATACTCTATGTTGTACATTACATACTCCTGACCCCTGCACTATATACTCCATGTTGTACATTACATACTCCTGACCCCTGCACTATATACTCCATGTTGTACATTCCATACTCCTGACCCCTGCACTATATACTCCATGTTGTACATTCCATACTCCTGACCCCTGCACTATATACTCCATGTTGCACATTCCATACTCCTGACCCCTGCACTATATACTGCAGTATGTACATTCCATACTCCTGACCCCTGCACTATGTACTGTGTTGTACATTACATAATCTTGACCCCTGCATTATATACTCTATGTTGTACCTTACATACTCCTGACCCCCACACTATATACTCTATGTTGTACATTACATACTCCTGACCCCTGCACTATATACTCCATGTTGTACATTACATACTCCTGACCCCCACTGCTATATATACACATTATATGTCTTCTCCTCTGTTCCCCCCATTTCCTACCAGCTGGACATTTTATATTGGATGACGTGGTTGGAGCTCAGACTGTTACATGGTGATAATAATGTGATCACATCCTCCAAACAGAAAGTGATAATGGGGGAGGAGCCAATACCCCTAATGATGGTGGTCTTCAGGATGGGAGAGGAGCCAATACCCCAATGAGGGTGGTCTTCAGGATGGGGGAGGAGCCAATAACCCAATGATGGTGGTGTTCAGGATGGGGGAGGAGCCAATACCCCAATGATGGTGATCTTCAGGGTCGGGATGGGGGGGAGGAGCCAATACCCCAATGATGGTGATCTTCAGGATGGGGGAGGAGCCAATACCCCAATGAGGGTGGTCTTCAGGATGGGGGAGATGCCAATACCCCAATGATGGTGGTCTTCAGGATCACTCCAGTCTTCCTCTTGGTTGTCCTCCCCCCATCCTCTCACTCTATGACCTCTGGTGGGGCTCCTGTCTAGTAATCCTCTTTTTGTCTTTGTATTTTAGTCCATGGCCGGGAGATGAGGAAAACCTCAGAGGATTGTCTCACTTTGTCTCCAGACTGGAAAGTAGAAGATGAGAACATCACACAGTATAGTCCAGGAGAAAGCCCGGCTCCCTCCAATGTCCATCCGGCACCACCCAGTGTAGATGGACCATCGGATTCACAGACTGTGCAGGACCGGGCCGGCCTTCACACAGGGAAGAGCTTCTCCTGTACTGAGTGCGGAAAAGGTTTCCGTTATAAATCTGGTCTTAATGACCATAAAAGATCTCACACAGGGGAGAAGCCGTATTCCTGCCCTGAGTGCGGGAAATGTTTCCGTTTTAAATACAAACTAGCTATGCATAATAGATCTCACACAGGTGAGAAGCCACACTCCTGTCCTGAGTGCGGGAAATGTTTTTCACAGAAGTCCCATCTTTACAGACATCAGAGATCACACACGGGGGAGAAGCCATATTCCTGCCTTGAGTGTGGAAAATGTTTTTCGCGAAAGTTTATTCTTTACAGACATCAGAGATCACACACAGGTGAAAAGCCATATTCCTGTTCTGAGTGCGGGAAATGTTTTGTGCAAAAATCAGAACTTGTTGCACATCAGAGGTCTCACACGGGGGAGAAGCCTTTTTCCTGTCCTGAGTGCGGAAAATGTTTTTCCGGGAAGTCCAATCTTTATACACACCAGAGATTACACACAGGAGAGAAGCCGTATTCCTGTTCTGATTGCGGGAAATGTTTTGTATCAAAGTCAGAACTTGTCATACATCATAGGTCTCACACGGGGGGAAAGCCCATATGGTTGTCCTGAGTTCGGGAAATTTTTTTCAGGTAAGTACAGTCTTTCCAAACATCAGAGATTGCACACAGGTGATGAGCCATATTCCTGTTCTGAGTGCGGGAAATGTTTTTCATTGACGTCTGCTTTTTAGAGAGACACAAGAGATCTCTCACACAGGAGAGAAGCCTCATTCCTGTCCGGAGTGCGGGAAATGTTTTTCACAGAAGTCCAACCTTTACAAACATCAGAGATCTCACACGGGAGAGAAGCCATATTCCTGTCCTGAGTGCGGGAAATGTTTTGCACAGAAGTCACATCTTTCCAGACATCAGAGATCTCACATGGGGGAGCAGCCGTATTCCTGTCCTGAGTGTGGGAAATGTTTTACACAGAAGTCCAGTGTAACGTACATGTGAATGATGTAACGTGCATGTGACATAAATGTACAGATTTGAGTAGGTAAGATGTGATCAGTAGCAATATGTAATCGTAACTGGAGGGACATTCCATTGTCATTAAGGATGTATATTCTGTAGGGACATTCCATTGTCATTAAGGATGTATATTCTGTAGGGACATTCCATTGACATTAAGGATGTATATTCTGTAGGGACATTCCATTGTCATTAAGGATGTATATTCTGTAGGGACATTCCATTGTCATCAAGGATGTATATTCTGTAGGGACATTCCATTGTCATCAAGGATGTATATACTGTAGGGACATTCCATTGTCATTAAGGATGTATATTCTGTAGGGACATTCCATTGTCATTAAGGATGTATATTCTGTAGGGACATTCCATTGTCATTAAGGATGTATATTCTGTAGGGACATTCCATTGTCATTAAGGATGTATATTCTGTAGGGACATTCCATTGTCATTAAGGATAAGTATTCAGTCCTTGTCATTGGGGAAATGAGATACAATTAGCATCAATTAGGCTGAAAAGCCTGGCTTCTGAGATGTGACACTTTTGAGTTAATAAGGTTGTCACCTTCTGGTGAAACCAGTTTAAAGGAAGTGGCCCCCAGACATTCCGGCTTCATCCATCCATCAAAAGGGGTATGTTTAATCTCTCATAAGAGCTAAAATATTAGTTGCAGAGAGATGAACATACTCCCTTCTTGTAGGGCATTCTGTGCGCTACATCTGCACTAAAAATCATCATATTTGTGGCTTAGGTAGAAGGCCAGGAAAGTGCAGGGAATGGTTAGGTGGCGCTGGATGGCAACAGTCGAATGGTGTTTGGTACTGTCGTGATCGGGCCGATGTGCTGGTGTCGGAAATCCAATCCCCGACTTGGTATTTCAAGCCGGTCTTAGTCCGATTGAACTTGGGCAGGTCAACACCCAAAACATCCTGGGGGCAGGTACAGGAACACCCCCCCCCCCCCCCATGGTCAATTGGCCAAGGACTAATGTCCTGCCTATGTCCATATCCCCATATACCCGGGGCGTTGGGACATTTGCTATTCGTACGGAGCTGCTTCGATCGACCAATAGATTGCTGATTCTCTGACTTGCTCCAGTCGCAGGGTAAATGCTGGTAAAGTTTTATTTCTGTCTTTTATTCCCTTTTATTGTATAGTGAATAGTCATTTGTGTGTCTTCTTGTATTTTTTGTATTTCTGTAACTTTTTATATTTTGTACATATTTTATGCCCCGTCCACTTTCGGGAAATTAAATCTTAACATTAATTAGTGACTTCTGTGTATTTAAGCACGTGCTCATATCTTTGGAGAGATTAGATTGGAGAGATTAGATTGGATTGTATTTTAGTGCCTTTAAACACTCGGTCAAGCTCATTGCCAATCTGTATGCATTTGCACTGTGTGTGGGCAGATTGTAAAAGGTAACAAATCGGCCAGACAGAGATCTGTGTGTGTTCTGTGGATAAACTGTTGGGTGGTGGCAGGCTACCTTTTTTGTGGTGTTATTTTAAATGAACAGAATTATGTAAAAGAGGTGAAGCGCCTACTAGGTGACTCATATACATTCCGTAAATTAACTGCTAACCCTTTTCCTATTGTGGTTAAAAAGCTAAATTCTATTTTAATGCTGGGCAAAGAGGCTGGCCTTCTCACTAAAAAGGAGTTTGAATATCTGAGGATAGAAGAGTTCAACTACCCTACCTTCTATATTATTTCTAAAATACATAAGGATTTGATAAATCCCCCAGGAATGCCCATTGTCTCTGCTATACAGGGCCCCCTTGAGAAAACGGGAAAATATGTCGACCTGTTTCTCAAGGATATGGTTCCTAACCTTTCTTCCTATGTTAGAGATACTAAAGATGTATTAGCTAAAATAGAAAATCTGAAGATAGATGAGAATTCCATTTTGGTTGGAATAGATGTCGAGTCATTATATACATCTATTCCACACGAATGTGGACTAAGATCGGCTTCATTTTTCCTCAATAAATCATATCCCAATATGGGGGGACAAAATGAGTTTATAAGTGAGCTACTGGAATTTGGTTTGCAACACAATTTTTTTCAATTTAATAATAATACTTTTTACCAACAGATTAGAGGCACGAAGGTGGGGCACCATGGGCCCTGGCCTATGCCTGTCTGCATTTGGGTTTCTGGGAGGAGCAGGTTGTCTATAGATCACCAAGGTTTCTTGCACATGCTCAGATTTGGTTGAGATACATTGACGATGTTTTCCTTGTGTGGAGGGGATCATTGGAGGAATTAAAACTTTTTCTGGAGGAGTTAAATCAAAACTCCTTCAATATTATATTTACGTATGTCTTTTATGAAAGGCGTATTTCTTTCCTTGACCTTGAACTTAGACTTGAAGGCGACAGGTTCCTCACCAAAACGTTCAGAAAACCAACTGCAGCTAAAACCTTACTAGAGGCCAGGAGTTATCATCCACGTTCATTGATCAATGGAATTCCAGTTGGACAGTTTCTGAGGTGCCGCAGAAACTGTTCAAATTTAATGACTTTAGGATAGAGGCACAGGACCTCTATAAAAGGTTTAGGGAACGGGATATTTTCACTCTCAGATTAGAAAAGCTAGAAAACGGGCATATCAAACTGACTGTAAGACGTTGTTGTCCCCGAAAAAGGAACAGAAGGAGAAACAAGTTAGACAACCAGTTAGGATGATAACCCAGTTTGGAGCACAATGGGGGGATGTTAAACAAATATTAGAAAAACATTGGAAGATCCTTACTCAGTGCCCTAATCTTGGTAAAATTGTAGGTGAACGTCCTCAAATGGTAGCAAGAAGAGCACCAAATTTCGGTGATCTTCTTATTCACTCTGACTATCAGCCATTAAAACAACTAACATGGCTGAAGTCACGTACAAAAGGGATGTATAGGTGTGGAAAATGTCAAATTTGTCAATTTGTGGATCATACAGATTTTTTCTCCGATTCCAATAATAGAGCGCACTTTAAAATTCAAAGTCTTATAAATTGTTCCACAGCCAGAGTACTTTATATGTTGACTTGCCCATGTAAAAAAAATGTATATTGGTAAAACTAAAAGGCAGCTTAAGATACGAATAGGTGAACACTTTAGAGATATTAGGTCCAATGACCCCGAAAGCAGTTTAGCTCAGCATTATGCTAAATGCCATGGAGGCAAATTAGAGGGTACTAAAGTGAAAGGTATTTATGCACTAAATTTCCCTCAGGAGAGGTGATTTTGATAAAGAACTATTAAAACGTGAGAAATATTGGATTTATAAACTTGATACTCTATTCCCAAAAGGGTTAAATATTGAATGTGATCTCCAAGTATTTTTAGAAAAATAGTCAAGTGTGTAGAATTATAAATTGGTAGCGCCACCTTGTGGGAGGTTTGGTGGCAAACATTTGATCCCTCTTAATGACATAAGAAAGTAGGAAATTTTTCCTCCCTCTTGGTGTGCCCAGGTGTCCACTCTTTTTAATTGTGTTATATGACCAGCTGTTTTGCTAAGTAATTAGCTCTTTTTCCCCATTGAGAATGATTGCCAGCAACCGATTTGCATATATGGGCGGCATTGAGCCCAGCATAAATAGGAAGCTGAAAGGCAGATGTCTCATTGGTCCTGACGAAGCCGAGTGAGATATGCCCATCGGCGAAACGCGTTGACGTCATACGTCAGATACGTCACTTCCGGTAATGCGCATTGGCGCCCTACACGCTGACCACCAGGGAAGCGGCCATATTTGTGTGCTGCGAGCTGTGCAAGGCTGCACCAGCACCAAGGGGAGAACGGAGCCCGCCAGTCATAGGTTCGATGTTAGCGGCTGCTCCCGGGATTATACCTGGTAATCTAGACGGAGGAAACTTCCAGAAAGTATCACCTATGGCTCAGGTGGTGAGTGAACTGTCATACAGCTAAATGAAAAGGCGTTTTTTTGCCACTGTACACATACATCAGCAGAAATATATTGATTGACTGTCCATTTGTCATCAATTTATTGCAGGATGGGGACAATATGATTCACAATCTAGGTGCAAGGCACCAATTATATATTACAAGAGACAGAGGACTCGGCAAGCTTCATACTTTATCATCTTTACCTCACTAAGGATACCAACAGTGATTCTTTCATGAATAATTCTGCATTTTTACATATGGGCATGTCCATTGTGAATCTGTACATGTTCACCATTCACTCGTGCCTTACATAGGGGCTGCATTGCTATTATTCTATCATCCTGTTATTATAGGAGCATCCGTACCCTCCCTTTATATTTACAATTTTTCACCCATATTGCCTTGATAGGGTTATGGGTAATTTTATTAATATATGGTGCCTGTTATCAGCCAATATTGCATAGCGCTGTACAGTACATACCTGATGGTACAATTTTTGACACACCCCCTGCTGGTGGTGTAACCCAGCGTTTTTCAACCACTGTGCCGCGGCACACTAGTGTGCCGTGAGATATTGTCTGGTGTGCCGTGGGAAAAATTCCAATTTCATCTGTAACATGTGGCTTCGGCTCACAAATAGACCAATCATTAGAATCTAATGATTCAGTGGTCGGCAAGCCGCGGCTCGCGAGCCACATGCGGCTCTTTACCCAGTCTAATGCGGCTCTTCTGTGTGCCGGGCGCCTGCTCCCCTCCCTCCTCTCGGTCGGCCGCTCCCCTGCCTCCTCTCGGTTGGCAGCCCCAAAAGTCCGCGCGGACCTTTTAATCCGGCTTGCGGATGTGGCTGTCAGGATGTGTGTAGGCGGGGCAGCGTGCCGAACGTGAGGGGAGGGGAGCTAGGCTCCTCTCACAGTCCGCCCTGAAGACCCGAACGGCGCGGGAAGACAGCGAGAGGAACGCAAAAGGTAAGTGAATTGACACGGGGGACTTGGCTTACTAGAAGGGGGGGGGGGGAATAGTACTGTGGGGGATGAAATACTATATGAGGGATGAATTACTTTATGAGGGATG